CCCTAACAATAACCTAAAATAATAGCGAGGCCGCCGAAGGCGGCCGAGCTCAGATGAACACCCCAACAATACCCTAAAATAATAGCGAGGCCGCCGAAGGCGGCAGAGCAAACGGAAACACCCCAACAATACCCTAACCTGATATAACAGCGAGGCCGCCGAAGGCGGCCGAGCAAACGGAAACACCCCAACAATACCCTAACCTGATATAACAGCGAGGCCGCCGAAGGCGGCCGAGCAAACGGAAACACCCCAACAATAACTTAAACTAAAATAACAGCAAGGCAGCCGAGCTCAAAATAACACTTTTCAGAAGAACACTTCAACAATAAACTTTTTGTTTTAGAACCTCTATGATTTTTGAATTAGCAAGCATTGCATTGAATAAACCTTTTCTATCAGCTCACGCTCTCCCTGCCTTCCAACACAATAAATAAATAAAAACAGAAGTGCTAAGTGTGCGTGTGAGTGGGTGAGCAAGGCTGAAGCGCCGATCAGGCGGACCCAAAGTCAGTCATCCACTTCTTGTACTTCGCCAGATCATCGGCGCTGACCGACTTGTTGATCTTCCGCATCGCCTCCTCAAAGTCCTCCCCGGTGACGGGCATATCGAGCTCCTCGCTCGACAGCGAGCGAATCTGCTCCGGCGTCAGCCCTACAATCCGCCTTCGCATCTCCATCATGCAGGCGTCCCGGCAGACATTGGTAATGTCCGCGCCCGAGTAGCCCTCCAGGCGGGCGGCAATCTTTCCTACATTGAGGTCGTCGGCCTTCTTCACCTCGCGCAGGTTAATGTTCAGCAGCGCCTCGCGGCCTTCCCTCGAGGGCAAGGAGATGTAGATGCGCTTCTCGAGGCGGCGGCGCAGCGCCTCGTCAATGTCCCAGGGGAAGTTTGTGGCGGCGAGGACCATCACCATGGCCGGTGTTTTCCCGTCTTGGCCTCTTCCACTGGCCTCGGTGATGCCGTCCATTTGAATGAGCAGCTCCGATTTGACGCGCCGGCTCGCCTCGTGCTCATTGTCAGAGCCGCGCCGCGAGCACAGCGAGTCAATCTCGTCGATGAAGACTAAGGAGGAGAAGGAGGAGAGGAAAGGAAAAGGTTAGCAGGGCACTTTGTTTTCATCACATCAAAACATGCACTTACTGGTGCTGGGCGCGTAGTGGCGCGCCATCTCAAAGAGCAGGCGCACCAGCTTCTCCGACTCGCCGTGGTACTTGCTCGTCAGCGTCGAGCTGCTCACATTGAAGAAGGTGGTCTTGCACTCGGAGGCCACCGCCTTCGCCAGCATAGTCTTCCCCGTACCGGGCGGCCCGACCATCAGCACGCCCTTCCACGGGCGGCGAATGCCGCGGAAGTAGTTGGGCATCCACATCGGCAGCACCACCGCCTCCTTTAGAAGCTTTTTCGCCTCCGTCAGGTCGGCAATGTCCTCCCAGCGAGTGTCCGGGTTTCGCTGGAGGATGTCCCGCTCAATCAGCTCCACCAGGTCGCCGTCCGGGCCGTGCATCTCAAAGCGGCGGTCCGGGCTGGCGGTCCGCATGGACGCCTGCCTTTGCTCTTTTGAGCTGGAGGCGATCACCAGGGAGCCGCCTTTTCCCAGCGCCTCTTTTACAGCTTCAAATTCGCTGATAATGTTGGAGCGCACCTACAAAAAATAACAAATTTTTTTAAAAATTACAGTTTGATTTTAATTGCATAAAAACACATACCTCCTCCAATCTTCTGCTTATTGCCTGGGGAGAAGGCGTCTGGAGGCGAAGAGCGATTCTCGCCAGTGCACTCTCGTAGACGATGAGGGCTAGTTCGAGGTTGCCCTCCACTGAGCAAGCCCGTGCAACATTAATGATTTCCTCAGTCTCCTTGGCGGAGTTCATGATGATGATGTTGTTGTGGGAGTTGTTGTTGGTGGTGATTTGTAAAAGAAACTTAAATATTTTGTTTCTAAATTGTGTGTGTGTGTGGGCTGTGTTTGTTTACAAAAATGCGCTCAACTTGTGTGACTAGTTTCATAAGTCTACTGGGACCTCAAAAATTCAAACAGATTTGAGACTTTTTTCTTTGTGTGTTAGCTCTCTAGAGAGCAAATTAGTGTTTGCCTTTTGATTGGCGCCAAAAATTAAAAACAGTTGTCGTGAAGTTCAGCTGCAAAATCAATTTTCTATCACTTTATTGTTTAAAATTATAATTTACAGTAGTTAAGTAAAAATTTATAAGTTTTTAAGTTTATTTACAAATACAGTTTTAAACTATTTTATTTTACTTTTTCATTTATAATTATGGCAAAAAATTGGCATCCAAATAAAAATTGATGGATACAATTATTTCATAGTCAATCACAAACTCGTTTACTCAGCAGGATGTTTTGCATTTTAGTTTACACACTTGTTACTAAACACATCTAACAATTGTTAACACAGATATTGTATACTTTTTCCTGATTGCTGCAAAAACAAATCTAGTTTTTGCAAATGTTAAGCTAAATCAACTCTAACTTTATTGCGTAGCAATTTTTAAACTTTGATTTTCAATTCTTTATTCTGCAATTTTGCTAATGTTTAAAAATGTCTCAAAAACCCTCTTTATTATCTCGATCTGAAGAGAGAAATGCTTTTTTGAATCAAAACCCTTGTTTTAAGCGACTTCCTGTACTTGAATCTTTGCCAACAGGATTTGTTAATTGCTCTGTCTGTAAAATTGATTTTGATGGAAGTTCAGTGCAGAAATTGAATCGTCACTTAAATTCTCAACCACATGTTAATAAATCTACATCTGCTTCTACGTCTGCTTCTACATCTACTACTGCACCTACTGCTGCATCTACTGCTGAACACAACACAGCTATTACTTTAATTTTAAAAGACTATCCAAACACTTTCAAAGTTATAAAAGATCGGTTTTTTTGTTTGCAGTGCCATTCATCAATTTCAACTAAACGCTCTGTTGTTACAACTCATTTAAAATCTAAAACTCACTTGAAAGGTGTTGAAATTACCAAAGCCAACGAATCTACTAAAACTACCACCAATGCAGAGTTTAATTGTGATTTAGTGAGAGCAATGACTGCTACGAACGCGCCACTCCACATACTCGATAATCCTGCTTTTAAAACGTTTTTGGAAAAGTGGACCTGTAATCAAGTCAAATCTTCTAAAACTTTGAGGGGCAATGTACTTAATAAAGTTGAACAAAACACTTTTAAAAAGGTTAAAAAATACCTCAAAGGCAAAAAGAAATTCATCTCAATAGATGAATCAACTGACAAGTCCTGCCGTTCAATTGCATCTGTAATGGTGGGAACACTGGAAGCTGAAGCGGACGCAACAGGAAAGCTTAAAGGGAAACCTGGCAAAATATTTTTATTTGACGTTGTTAAAATGAAGAATGGCACAGCTGACACTATTGTGGAACTTTTTGACAACACTATCGCCAAGCTCCAATGTAAAACTAATGAAAAACTATTTTTTAATTTTATAATAATTAAAACTTGATTTTATAACTCATAGGCGATCCCAAAGAGATTCTTTTGTTTGCAACTGATGGTGCAGCACCGATGAAAGCAGCCGGGAAAAAGCTTTGCAAGAAGTACAAGGATATGATACACATAACTTGCGTTGCGCACGCACTGCATCGTGTTGCTGAGTTAATTTCTGAAGAGTATCCTTTGGCAACAAAACTAATCCTAAGTGTAAAAGCACTTTACAAAAGCAGCCACAAGCGTAGAAGGCTGTTTAAGAAAAATTGCAAACGTCGTGGAATAAAAATCAAGCTACCGGCAGCACCAGTACTAACTAGATGGGGCACTTTTTTAGAAGCATGCAAGTATTATGCTTCTAATTTTGATGTAGTCGAAGATGAAGTACGAGATTTAAACGGCACTACAAATGTCTATTTAAAAGCCATTGATTTATTCAACAATCCTGAATCAAAAAATGAAATACTTGAGATTGCTAACCGGTACTCAGCATTAGTCGATCATTTTGAAGCACTTCAAACCCGTGACATGCCCACAACTAAAGTGTTCGATTTGGCAAGTGAAATAAGCGATGTTTTGCTAGAGCATGTAAACAATCAAAAAGGCAATGAAAGAGCTTCCAATATTTTCAAAAAATGGAAAGAAGTGGTTGAAAAGAATGTTGGCCTAAAACAAATGGAAAAGATTCAAAAACTTCAAAATAACATTCCTGTACCTAACCAAAGTGACTTGCCGAAAAATGTCAAAATCAATCTCCCTTACTACGATTACGCGCCGATGGTAACTGCTGATGTTGAACGAAGTTTTTCGGTGATGAATCGAGTGTACACTCATTTGCGACGAAATATGAAAGTTTCAAAATTAGGAACTACCATGAAAGAAATTTGGAACGCAAAAGGTATCAAATATTTTTTGTTTAAACTGTTAAAATATTAATTGTTTTATTTAAAAGTTTTGTCAGAAATTGATGAAAGTGAGTTTTCTCCAAGTGATGATGAGGGCGACGGCGGAAACGGAGACGATGGCGACGACGGCGACGAAGGTGACAACGGCGATGACGGCGACGACGGTGACGGCAACGCTGACATGGACTACGAGGAAAATGAAGATGAACGAATGGACACTGACGGTGACGACGCAGATGAAAACCAAAGTGACTATGACAGCGAAAGTGACGGCGAAGGATACTCTGCTGATGATGATAACGAAATTGAATTGAGATATCTTGCACTAGACGGAAAACAAACACTAAAAGAGATTCAAATGGCGAGTGGTTCAAAAATGGAGGATTGGGAATTGGAAAAGCGACTCAGACTACAAAAGAAACTCAACAAACTCACCGAACATAAAGAGTGGAGTATCAGGTTTATGAAATACCAAGAAAACCTCGGCAACGATCCGGATTATATTAAAGAATCGAACGATCGAGACAAGAGACGTAAAGAATTAGAAGAACGAAAAAAGGAGCAAGCTAAACTCAACAACGCGGATAACGCTGAATTGTTTGGTCGGGCCTATGGGTTGGCAAAAAACGACATTGAAACCTTCAAAAACGATAGAGATGGTTACTATACCACTTTGACCAGCGACGCCGAAGCAGCCGCTGAACATAGAAACATGGAAATAGAAGATCGTATCAATCGACGATGTGACTTAATCGATAACTCTTCTCTTGGCAGAGTTTTGACTAAGGAAACACACAAAGTAAGTAACTTTATAAACAAACTTAAAAACAAAAATAAAACTCTTTGCTTTAAAATTACCAGGTGCCCCAAATACAAAAGTCCAGCAATCAACAAGCTAAAGAGTCAAAGTTAATCAACAGTGTTAAGTCAAAATTTTCAAACATGGTTACAAACATCACAGGATCGCCAGCTATGGCTCGAGCTGCAAAGAAAACTTTACTTTCCCAAAATAATGAATTAAAAATTCTTGATAGCATTAACGCAAATTCAAAAAAAGTGCTCAAGAAACTGGAAGAGCGAAATAATGCTCAGCAAGCTACAGAAAGAAAAGAAGACAAACTGATTGCTTAAACAACATAAATTCTTGTTATTAAATATTTTTTATACTTTGTACTTTTATAGTTTATAGAAATAATTTTAACAAAAAATTAATTTGATTATTTTTGAAACTGTTCAAAAAGCTAAAAACCAAAGTTTAATCTTCTTTTATTATGTCATGTTAAAATCTTTAATAAAAGCTAAGTTCGGCCGCCAAAAACAGCTTCGCTGTTATTTTAAGTTATTGTTGGGGTGTTTCCGTTTGCTCGGCCGCCT